CCACTGAGCCATCTCTCCAGCCCTACCATGTAATTTTAAGTGTTTCAAAAACTTATTGAGGACTGGGGAGATGGCTTGGTAGAATAAGTGCTTGCCTGGCAAGTGCAAGGGCCTGAGTTCAATCCCCTGTTCAGGGGGAAAAAAAAAACTTATTGAACAAAATGCTAATTCTACCTAAAAATATACTCACTATGCTTTGAAAAAACATGTTTCAATTACCATTTTGAATTAGGAATAAAAACAGATCTTACAGATTGGTATAACAATCTTCCACTTTACTAAAAGAAAAAAAGCCATAAAATGATAATCCCACATTCATTTTAATATTCATGGCATTAAAAAAAATAATATTCATGGCATATTGAAGACATTACTAGGCAATGTGAGAAACACAAATCAGTATGACTCCTATATTCAAAAAAGTCATTTATAATCCTATCTATGGGCCATAAAAGGCCGTCTTTGAAAGCTTTCAGACTTCACTTATAGGGCCAGTTTGATAGCTCAGCAGACTAAGTGCCTGCTTAGGCAAGCACAGGGACCAGGTCATCCCCAATCCCCAGCACCACAGGCTGCACAGGCCCAGCCCCTGGGCGGGCATGGTGGCATATGCTTATAATCCCAGAGCTTCGGAAGCTGAAAATAAGAGGATCACTAGGAGTGTGAACTGCATAGTGAGACTCTGTACCAAATACATAAATTTTTTTAAAAAGAACACCTAAACAGACTTTACTTATAAAATCATTCTGCAAATCCAGATCATTCACCACAAAGAATATTCCCTCTCCCTCCACTATATATATATACATCTATATGTTTGTGTGTGTGTGTATATATATATATATATATGTATGTATGTATATGTGTGTGTGTGTGTGTGTATATATATATATATATATGTTTTTTTTTTTTTAAATGTATCTGGTACAGGGTCTCTCTACACAGCTTGGACTCCAGGTGATCCTCCTGTTTTCAGTCTCCCCTGGGATTACAGGCATGCACCACTACACCCAATCTCAGCAGCCAGCTCAGCAGGCCCGGGGACGGGAGCCAGTGCAGCATGTGGTGCAGGGGGTCAAACCATGGTTCCTGCACTTGCCTAAGCAGGCACTTGGTCTGCTGAGCTATCTCACCGGCCCCAAACATACATTTTTTTAGGTTAGAAACTCATGGTAGAGCTAGACAACGTTGCATGCATGTAAAGTCCCAGCATTCAAGATGCTAAGGTAGAAGGATCACTTGGAAAACACAGACATCACCTCCAAAGTAAAACAGAACACACAATATTGGGGCTAAGACTGTAGCTAGGTGGTACAGTGTTTGCCTAGCAATGTGTAAGGCCCTGGATCCCAGCCCAAGGCCTAGCACCAATACAACAATCCTTCATTATATTAATAATACCTTTTTGTAGGAAATTTTATTTTTACAGCAATATTGCTAATATAGTCCTTGCTATAAACTCGTAAGTTTGGCTATAAATTTCATCCCTAACTTACTTCATAAAAAGCTTCAGTGACCTAGACATCATTAGGGCTAAAATTTAGTTGAGTTGGCATGAGACAAGGGTGGCAGGTCTTCCCAAAGGATAAGTACAGAGAAGACACAAAATATGCTACTTGACTTATGAATAGTCCTGGGGCTGGAGATGTAGAGTACTTGCCTAGTACATGAAAGACCTAGGATCAAACTTCAGTAACAAATGCATAAAACTACAGTCAAAACAATTTTCTATTTCTAATTATGTTCAAGTACACAACTCCAAAACCTCTTTTAAATAATAATAGTTAACTATCACACTACATTTTTATATTTTAATGTAATTTTTTTTATCTAGAATTGAGTAATGCTCAGCTCATCTATTCTTTTTCTTTTTTCTACAGTATTTCTACGTGAAGGCAACTATTTTTCTCTTCTGTACTATTAAACCTAGAACTCAGGCTAGAGATATAGCTTAACTGTATAAAGCCATAAGTTCTATTCAGCATAACTAACTGAACAAAAAAGCTGTAACTATCTTAAGGTACACGCAGCATCACTACATCTCATAATTTTTTGGCTATCTATAAAATTCCATAAAATATATAAAATGTTCTAAGCTCTCTCAAAAGTAGCCCCAGAGTCTGATTTGCCTCAAATAAAACATCTACTCAAGTACACACCAAGGGGCCGGGGAGATGGCTCAGTAGAATAAGCACTTGCCTGGCAAGTGCAAGGGTCTGAATTCAATCCCCAGTTCCACCAAAGAAATAAAAATAAAAAATCAAGTACATACCAGTATACACATGTGTATATACAAATGTGTTTGTATACCTTTTTATGTTTTCATTTTAAAAAGACAAATGCAATGTAATCTAAGCTAAACACCAAATTACTTTCTTCTTTGGCTTGAAAGGGGAAATGTTCTAAATCACGCCTTTACTATTGCTAGTTGACTCACTATATAGCTGAAGTTTAAAACAGTGGTGGCAAACCTATGGTATATGTGCCACAGCAGACATGCAGAGCCCTCTGTGTCAGCTTGCAAGGAAACCACCCAGCACTGCCCCCACCACCCGAGTATTAGGTAACAGCACATACAGGGGCGAGGGGCATGCGTGGAAAGGAATGGCAGTACCAGTTCTCTGTATCACTGAAAGCTCTGTTATTTCTTCTTTTAAGATAAAAAATGTTAATGTATGAATAATTTTTTCTAAACCAAAAATAAATGTTGGCACTCTGTGATAAATATGTTTGGGGTTATAGTTTCAACACTCTGTCTTTAAAAGGTTCACTTAGAAGAATCTCATCTTAAAATTTCTTTCTCGGGCTGGTAAAATAGCTCAGTGAGCTAGGAACCTGCTCAGGCAAGTGCAGGAACTGGGGTTCAATCTCCAGTAGCATATGCCACACGAGCCCTCCCCCTGGGGATGCTGAGCTGGCCACCGAGACTGGATGTGGTGACACATGCCCGTAATCCCAGCACTGGAGAGGCTGAG